TACATGCGAGTGCCAAAATGGATGTCACCCTCGTAACGCAAAGTCCGTGACCCGCAAGTCGGTCTGCGCAGGGCTCACTCTTCCGCCGGCCTAAACCTCGACTCCGCTCCGTAGCTTAGGAACGTGAGTCTAATGCTCGTGGAACCGAATTGTTTGCCGTTGTTTAACTCAAAGCGAAGCGAGTGACGACGTCGAATTCGCGTTCCGCGTGAGGAGACCAGACGGACCTCGACAGACGTCGTCGGACCGAAGGCGTGGTGGAGTAAGGAGTAAGGGACGAAGCCAGGCCGGTCTCTGCGGCCTCGTCACGCGCAGATGCACCGCACCGTACCTTCGGGAAGGAATGGGCTGGAATGCGTGGGGCTTCCTTCTACGCCGCAGTAGAAGAAAATGTGATGTGGTAGGAGTAGATGTAGTAAGTAAGTAGCCTTGGAGGTCACGCGGTAGTGTTGCCCACCGTCGGAGGACGGAGGCCGGAAGGAACGAAGGAAGCCCGCTCCCGGTGCAGACAAAACGGTCAAAAGCGTTCGCAGATGTTCTCACGAACAACGGGGACGATGGAGCAGCAGCGTTCCCAGTTTTCACTGGGGGCTTGACCGCGTAAGTAGTTCCAATGGACAGACTGGAGTGGACTGGACTGCGAACGTGGTTGATGGGGCACCTCACTTCAGTCATTCGTTCCATTCGCCCTGGCGATTGTTGACTCCGAACTCTCGACTGCGCTGCTGCTGGAGGGGAGAGGAGGGGAGAGGAGGGGAGGGGGCCCAGACTAGACTCTACAGATTTGCTTTCGTTCGTTTCGTAAGTCGTAAGGTGGGATGGCTCGATCGCTCGATCGCTCGTTGCCGCCATAGCCATCAGATCCGCGAGGCGGCCAGGTAGGTACAGTAGGCAGGTAGGCAGGCCAGTGATGTCATGTAGGCGCCAGAGGCCAGAGGTCAGCTCGAACGAAGGCAAGGCGACGGAACGGACGGGAACAGGAGGTCATGGACTGCAAGGTGTCAGTCACACCGTCGCGACACAGAGGAGGGGGAACCGATGTAGATTTCACATGGCTTCCCGCGCGCGCATCGTCCACTTCCCCTTTAGCGGCATGTCAGCGTTGACAGCGCTCCCAGGCGTAGGAGCACAAGAGGCGGCGTCCCGGCCCGGTCGTAGATCAAGCTTCTTAAAGGGAGCGGAGCGGGTGGGTACGGTGTACGACGGGTCGAGGTTGGGGACTCGCTTTTCTTTCTGGCTTGCGTTCGTTCGGTCTTTCTTTTCGTGGGAGTGCTCCACGGATGATGACCTGCGGGCGTAGGTGGAGAATCAGACATGCCCCGGAACAGCAGGTTGTTCGTTGGAGATCATAAAGACGCCGTGATGGTCGAAGGGCACGAAGGATGTTGGAAAGAGGAAGGGCCGCGCGAAAGAAATACGGACGAAAGACCGAGCGTATGTAGAGCAGGAACTAACGCATGAACGGATCGAGGATCTCGTCACTCGTGTGTGTCCTCCTGTGGGACTGGGGCGACTGGGGGGATGCCGGGCTGGCTGGTTGGCTGGCGCCAAGGGCAATGCCAACAGATCTGTCACTCGTGTGCACGCGTGTGGGAAGAAGGAATACGGAGGAGGAGGCGAGAGCCCTCCGGCAGGCAGGCAGGCAGCGGGGAGTGAGTTGGAACAGAATACGGAACGTGTGGACGAGTAACGTCCGGCCAGACCGACACCGATCGCCACTGAAGAGTGGCCACAGACAGCAACGAAATCCAAGCAGGAATGAACCACTTTCCAAGCCCCAGCTGCAGGAATCGACCGATCCGAACTTCGCAGCATACGATCCGAACGAGAGCACATGCGAGCGCCTCAGCCGACGCTGCCAGTCTCGAGGCCGTAACGCTACGTGAGTGCAGTTCGGTGCGGGGGATAATGAATGCTGTATGAGCTCGTGCTGGTCGCGAGTGCGAGGACGAGCGAGAGGAATTTGATGGAAGGATTGATGGATGGATCGATAGATCGATGGACAGACTCCGTTAAGCGAGTTGCGCTGACTGCCCAGGCAGAGAGAGAGAGAGAGAGAGAGAGAGTTGACCGCTGTAAGTAAAGACAGAGGCAGCATGGGATGGATCGGAAGCGAGGGGAAAGTCCGTGACCCTCGCTTCTGCAGCTGCTGCGGCCTGCATTCTGATCTGACTGCTGCAGCTGAGCCTCGGCTAGCTACGGTGCCAGCGCAGAATGGCGCGCCTGGGAGGACAGCTTTACGGTGCTTCGGACGGGTGAGGGTGAGGGTGAGTCGCAAGAGGGAGATGGAAGCCGCACAGCTCGTCGCAGTTAACCGCCGAGGCCCAAGGTTAGTTGAAGGGATACACCACGCCATCATTGCACTCGGGTCGTCCTGGAGCAGCAACAGCGGCATCGCAGTGCAGATTGTGCAAGAGATCCTTGCAGGGAACGGAACGGAGGAGGAACGATGTCGAAGCGCTGAGCCGAGCCGAGCAAAAGTCTGTGACTGGTTGGTTGGTTGGTTGGTTGTTCGATCGTACGTCGGCCTGTCCTTGCCCTTCGGACCTGGAGATTTCAACTGTCTTCCGTCGCTCATCCTCAGCAGCAATGCCCGCCAGGAGGCCCCAGAGAAACGAATAAAGAATTCCCCCGGGCCTTATGATAATGTCCCCCCGCCTTATAATATCGTATCATATGCTCGGCCTCCCTTCATTCGCGACAACCTCAGAAGCTGTTCTGATGAGTATCACCATACGGCCCACTGTTCCGCGCATTAACTTCGCCATCGCCTGTTCCTTTTTCCTCCAGGTGGGGGACCGCGTCCCTCCCCCGTCTCCTCTCGCCTCTCGCAATTGTGCATCGCCCCCGCGAATATGGCACCGCTTGATCGTCCCGGACAGTCCTCCCCCGCCAGCCCTCAGCGATTTCCCTCGCGTTTCCGCTTCCGGGCTCCAGAGCTCGTTCGCGGCCGTCGACGAGCAGAGAGGGGAGGGGGAAAAGGAGCCAGGGCATCTGGCATCCATGGCATGGCATCGCTGCGGGTGGGATGATCGGCGATCGTGACCGCGGACGATGACCTGGGCATGGACATCGATGATGATGATGCTGATGGCATTGACCCGGACTCCCAGTTTCGATTCTCGATTCACGGAGCGCTTTTCTTTTCTCTTCTGTTCTGTTCTGTTCTCTGCTCTTCTTTAACGTCCACGACGACATGGCGCGACCGGTCGGTCGTCTGTCTGTCGGTCGGTCTCGGCTCCGTAGAACTGACCTCCGGCCAAATGTGCGTCGTCGTCGTCGTCGTCGTCGTCCGTGGAGCTGGGACGAGAAAATGCCCGGCCGTCGTCGTCATGCCACCACCGGCGCCCGACCCGACTGTCCGGGGCTTTTGTCAACTTCGCCGTGCCCAAATGTCGAGATGCCCTACCCGAGGCCCAGCGCGAAGGGTGCGTGCGAGGCCGGCACCGGAATATGACCACCGCGGTGACGGACAAAAGCCGTTTCTCGGCCCGGTGCCTCCTCGCGAGAAGCTTCGCGGCTACGTGACTGTGGAGTTCACGCGTAGGCACAAAGGGCGAGCGGAGAATAAGAATGACCGAGCCCGAGGCTCGATGCGTTCACTGTGGCTCAGGCTCAGGCCCGGGCTAGTCGGTTGTGCGCTGCGGTTCGGTGGCTTTCGGTTGGGTTCGATGGGGCCTGGGGGCCGTACAGGCGCATGAATCATCACTCCACTTGGCAACCAGGTTTCGGGGGCGAGAGCGGCAGAGAGCGGACAAACAGCAAATCGGGGGATCATTCCCTGGAGGGCACTGTGGCGCTTTCGGTGCCCGGCCCGGCTTCGGGTCGGAGCTTTCGGTGGTGCCCTCGGGGACGCGCAGGGCCTGTGACATGGTCGCCGCACAGAGCGCCAGCTCCGCGCGCGTGGAAAGACGGAAGGCCGAAAGATATCTGGTCGTAATACTGTTCAATTCTCCTGCGGGCGAATAACAGATTCCGCCCAAGCGTTGCACCATATGGCACTGGTACCTCGTCCAGTGCGCAATCCCGCGCCCCATTGGCTTGCATGCGGCGACTGTGTGACAAGATATGGCCCCTTCGCGAGTGCAATCACCGTCGAGTGCCTACAGTGGTGAACCACCTCTGCGCTTCTCGTCGACGACGGGCGCATTTCGTCGAGAGAATCTCACACCAGACCGGTGCTAAATCAGGAAGGCATCAACGCGAGCTCTCACATCACAGCTGGCCGAGCCAGCCCAAGAATTCCAGCCTCCGACCAACAGGTAATCGCGACAGTGGGATTTAAGACCCAGCTATCTGAACTACCGACAATTCCCGCATTGCAAGTGACCTGATTTCCCAAACTGTACCACTACTACTACTACTGCTACTACTGCTGCTGCCACTGATCGATTCTCCACACGGATAACAATCCCACATGTGCGCAGGGATTGTGCTATCGCATCCCTCCCTCCCTCCCTCCTCGGTGCCGCACCTCTCCCCTCCCCGCGTCGAGGTATGACCAACGTGCTGCACCCTCATGTCGATCACATCGCTCTCCCGTTTCATGCAGGCACACTGGGGACTCGTGAATCTCGATCTATCCAGATCACGTACGGTTCCGTACCAACGAAAAAAGCCGAACGGACCCTGTGAAATATAACGTCGGGGCGTCGTCACCAGCTCGACCCCAGACTGTTCCTGCAGGGAAGCCTCGACGCATTGTATCCATTCCGCCGGCCTGCCTCTGCGTTCCATTCCATGTGCCGAGCCTTGGGACAAGTTCTAAAATCGAAGATTAGAAAACATCCGGAACGAGATTCTGATCCGCTGCGAGCTCGGAGGCACAGCCTTGGCAGTAAACGCATAAATCGGGCCTCTCGATGTGTAGGTCGAGAAAACGGACCAACTCATAAGCCATTCAAAACTCAGTGACAGTATCCAGAGCAACATTCCAATCACAAAATCACTCGATGCATCGATACGAAAGTAAACGAAAAATCGAGACGACGCAAGCGATTGTGGGCGCACGTAAAGTGCAGAGTATTGAGATTATGAACAAAAACGGGGGCACATGTACAAAGTCTGGGATTGGGGTGGGTTTCAATTTGCTCAGACCGCTTTGATATCCTCTCTGAAGTTCTCCGCATGGACACAAGTTTATAGACACTTAAGTATCAAAGGCGAACTCTCATGGCTGGTGGAATTGGAGACATCGATTAACCTCCGTCTCCTGTAAGAATGGAGTTTAGAGCAACTGAACTACTTCTACTACTAATCTGACCTGAACTGAAGAATGACCGAAAGGGTGCTAAGCTAATCTGGGCAAAATGAGTTGCTTGCGAAGATCGTGCTGCAACATTCCAGTCCTCGGTTGCCTGCGTCACCAAAATCCCCGCGCCGGGCGACGCTCCAATGCTCGATCGTCTGAGGAGCTGCAGGTATGTGACGAAACACCACCGCTGCGGCGCGGCAGAGGACATGGAAAATGAATCCCGGTGGTAGCAAAATGGGATTGGAAGTAAAGGGAGTGAGGTTAAGAGAGCGACGGAGGGTGGGCGGGCAGGGGAGGGAGGAGACGCACGACTGTCAAGGTCACGAGACACAGGGCTGCTCCCAAAAGCTCTTCTCGTGATGCCGTTTCCCCACATTATCAGCGCACGAGAACGATGCTGCAACTTGCGCGTAATTTGCCAGTCTCGCTTCAGGGTCACCGGGGGCTTCGTGTCTCTTCTTTTGAGACCACTGTAAAAAATGGGACGTCGTTTGTAAACCCAGAGCCCCGTCGTATCCCTGGCCCGATGAGCCCAAGGGCGGGCGCGCATCACAACCCTCGTCATCTCTCGCGCGCCAGCGATCCTTGCTCGCTTCGTCCTTCTCGCCGTCCACTCGACCGTAGTCGCTCAAATTCGTATTCCGGATGCTCCGACTCCGATGCAATGGCGGAGCAAAAGGCGACCCACATTCGGAGGTCGCAGCAGCGCGAGGGTTGCAGCTGCGAAACGCGCTCTTGTAGGGCGCCGGGTGGTCGAATTCCCTCAATTTCGAGGGCGCGTTCCACAGGGGCGCTCGCGGGCTGGGCGCCTCCACCTCCCTGCGAAAAAGCGACGGTTTCTCCTCGTGCGAACCAGCCTCGGCGCCCTTCTCGCAGGCCGAGGCCGCCAGGCTCTGCATCAGAAATCTGTCCGAGCGCCCGGGATCCATCGGCGACGCTCGGGGAAATTCCAACCGTCCGCACTTGAGGTCATTCAGCGCACGCTTCGTCCGCCACGCTTGCGACGACTCTTGCGAGTCAACAGATTTCTGCTCCGCCGAGGCATCCATGGCCAGCTTGGGAGCTGCAGCCCGTGCGTCCGTGGGCGCGGTGGGAAGGCAGCCCTCGGGGTAGATTTTCGGGCACTTGTTCACCTTCCTCGACGAGCAGTTCTTGACCGGCAGCTCCCTGCCTGCAGCAGCTTCGGGATCCGCATCCTTCTCGCGCGTCTCCTCGCCCTTGAGGGCTTCGTCGGCCGCGGCAGTCTCGTCCAGGACCCCGGTGCTCGAATCGTCCCTGACGATCTCGCCGCCCTGGGCTTCGCGCTCGGTCGAGTCGCTCTTGTCATCCTGGCGGATCAACTGCAGCACCAGGCGGCCCTGCTCGCGAATGGGCTCGAACACCACGGGCTGCGTGACTTTCACTTCCTGCAACATGAACCGGCCTTCGGTGCGCACTGGTTGCAGCTGGACCCATGGCAGATGGTGGGGGACTCGCAATGAGCCCTGCCTGCCAAGAAAGCCCAAGGGAGGAGGGAAGCTGTGAACCTTCTGTCGGGAAATTCTCTGCTCGTGCAGGTCTCTCCTGCACGTCCTGTACCTCTCCTCCAAATGAACGTCGTCCTCATCGTCCTCCAGCTCCTCCGTCACACATTTCTCCCTGCGCACCTTCTCGGCGCTCTCGGAGTGCCCGAGCCTGTCCGAGCTCGCATTCCGGGCATCGCCCTCGCCGATGAGGGCAGCTGCCTCCACCGCTTGACATTCGACGTCCGTCTTGCCTGACAGCCGTGATTCGGCCAGGCTGAATCGGGCCGAGCTTCTTGGTGCTTCGGCCCCGATGGGGTGCAGTGCGTCGGGGCCTGATCGAGCCAAATTCGGGGTCGAGAATTCCTTGGCAGCCATCCCTGCCTCGCTGGCCGAATTGCTCCTCCTCGACACGGCCGAGAGCGATGGTCGGGCCAGGGATCGGGCGGTCTCGGCCGATGCCTCCTTGTGAGCGGCGCCTTTGGACTGCGCCATCTCGTCGTCCGAGTCGTCTTGAGCCCAGTCGCTGTATCCGGTGTTGCACCAATCTCTCCATGCATTCCTGTCGGGATTCTTCTTTCTGGAAGGGAAAACGACCTCCTCGGAATTGACCAGGGCGGTTCCGAGGTTAGAGAACAAGCTGGAGCAATTGCCGGTCGACGGGCTCGTCGAGTACAATCCAGACAGCGAATTCACACCACTTGTGCTGGAGCCCGATGTCGTGCACTCGGATGGGGTAGAATCCGCACCACTCGAGTAGTCCTTCCAGAACGGATTCTCGTCTCGCTTCCTTCGTGCGGGAAACTCGGGCTGGCTGCCCATGGGAGTACCTAGATTCGAGAACAGACTGGGTTTGGAGCTCGAGAGCAAATTCGAGGCCTTGGCATTATTCTTCGCGAAGAAATCGGCGACGCTGCTGATCATGGCAGTGCTCTCGCGCACATTGTTTTCCACCGTGGGCAAGCTGGGAATCCAGTCGGGCCGGAATCCGCGCCGCTCGCGCCACGACTCATCCTCGCGCTTTCTTCTTTCGGGGAAGGTGAATTCCTCGGGCACCACCATCGCATTGGCAGAACCCAGATTCGGGAACAAGTTGGAGCTCAGAGAACTGTACAATTCGGAGCCCGCAGTCATGGACTTGTCCGCCAGCAGGCCAGAGCTCTCCTCTCCGGGGCATTCACCGGAACCCCACTCGTGCCAAAGCGACACCTTCTCGGTGGTGGCACGATCCTCGCACTCTCGAATCTTCCTGGGGGGGAAAGTCACCTCTGAGGGCACGAAGACCGGCGTCCTGACGTTGGAGAACAAGTCGGATGTGCCGTTATGATTTCGGGCGAACAAGTCCGAGAGCGAACTGAACGATGAACTGGTGCGGCATTTCTCCGCATCACTCGCTCTGATCGAATCGGACGATGCGTCGAAAAAGGAATGCGAACTCGGATAGGCGCTCTTCATGGCTCGGGCGGGCGCGCTTCTCAACGGGATGCTGCAGAATTCGCAAGGAGGACTCTCCGCCGCTGATAGACCGGTGCTCGGGATGCAATTAAGACGTTGTAAAATCCAGCATTGCAGGTTTCGAGGCGGACGAGGATTCTGGGGCGGGGATGGGACCAAAGCCAACGGGTAGGGCTCTGCTAGTAGGCACGGTGAGGAACCGGCACATCAACAGGAGCAGCACTACAGCAACTCTGTAGCCGACATCGAGGCTTGAGAAGAGGTGATTCAGGCTCATGGCCAACACTTGGGAGAAGAGCGCTGCGGGAATGAGAAACGGTAATTGGGGACGGACGATGGAATCGGTGGAGGATCCAGGGGTGCTGCTCTCGCTCGGAGAAGTGGGGAAGGACGGTGCAACAAAGGGCAGGACCGCACCGACTGCTCAGCAGAGATTACTAATTTCTCTCAATGGTGATGCGGATTCTTCGAGGGTGGACACTCGGCGGCAGAGGGCGGGCATTCAGGGCTCGCGCGCTTGCAGACGCCGCGACATTCGACTTCTTCTTCTTCGACTGCTTGCAGGGTTCGGAAATTCAGTGCGGGAGGGACCTTCGTCTTCTCAATTGGGGCACGTCGACCAGCAACTACGCCTCTCCGATCAAAATCAGATCCTCGCACGACGCAAGCTCCCAACAGCTAAGGCTACGATATCTAATTTGGATTCGACGATGAATCGCAATGTTTCTTCTCTCGCTCACTCCTCCCGTCTGCAATGGGCAGATCTCTCTACTCTCGAAACTAGTCGCCGAAGTCCGCGCGCAGGCTTTCCGGACACGGTGGCTGGCAGGCGGGCAACTGAAAGAAAATGCAAGGCTCTCAAGCGGCAACAAGGGTCTGGGCCCTTCTCACTCTCTCTCTCTCTCTCTCAGAGACTCTGTCTCTCTCTGGCTGGCTGGCGCGCGCGTTCGCTCTCCTCTTTCCCTGAGTCTATCTTCTTCCGCGGCCGAACAAGGCGAAGGCAATCTCTGGCGATATCTTGCGCAGACTCTTGCCACCACACGCGCTAAAAATAAATATACGTGTATGCCTCTACCGCACCACACGAATTCCGCACTTTCTCTCTCTCTCTCTCTCCCAGTAGGGGTAGTATTAGTAGTAATACGCGAAGATGGAGAAGACGAACGAGGCAGGACAGGGAAAAGCGGAGGGGAGTCGACGAATGACGGAAGGAAGGAAGGAAGGAAGGAAGGAGTATAGTCCTGGGCGCCGTTCAGCGCTTCACTTCTCTCTCGGGGGTGCTCTCTCTAGGCAATCAATGATTCCACTCTCAAAAACGAAAATCTCTCTCTCAATCTCGAACTCGCAGGCCGGTCGTAGCTTCTCTATCGCTCTTCTTTTCAGAATTCTCTTCACTCTCTATGTCTCTCTCTCTTCTCTCGACTCTGTACTCGACTCAGTGGGCGTGTCTGTCTGTCTGTCTGGCTTGCTGTCTGCCTGTATGTCTGTCTGGGCGTTGTGCGAGCGTGTAGAATAGAATGGTAGAGCTTCCTTTCCTTCTCTTCTCTTCTCTTCTCTCTCTCTCTCTCTGTGTCTTTCTCTCTCTCTCTCAGGGGAGGGGGTGGGGGCCTGTCTCTCTTCTGTCCGTCTCTCTCTCTTGCTGGTATGTGGCTGGTGGCCTGGGTGTGAACCAATTGCGCTTGAGAACAGAAAGCCAAACGAACATTAACAAAGCAGCGAGGGGAGTTGACGGTGTCGCAACAGGGCCAGAGCGAGGGAGGAGGAGGAGGAGGGAGGGAGGGAGGGCAGAGGGTGAGGCTGGAGGAAAGGGCGAGAAGAGCGGAGATCACCGCACACAGAGAGGACCGCAGGCCCGCCTTTGTAGCTACAACGCCCTCGCCCTCCTGCCTCTCGCCCTCTCCCGTCGCCCCCCCGCTGCCTCCCGCCGGCGTCCCCCCTTCCGACGACCGCCTCCTCCCTTTTCCTTTCCCTTCGCTCCCCTTCCCTTAACCGATTCCCAAACGACCAACCCTAGACCACTACGGACTCCCCCACTCTCCCTCTCGTCCTTCGTCCTTCGTTACCTCCCCTCTTGGGGTCCTTAGTCCTTAGTCGGGCCGACGGAGGCCAGGCCACCGCTCACGGCGCCCTCAACTTCCTTTCCACGGACACCGAGCGGGGCGGCGCGCTCCATACTTGTGGGATTTACCGAACCTGATTCTCCTGCTCGGGCACCACCGGGGCCCCGAACCGCGAGGGGCGTAGTGAAAAGTGGAGGGAGGAGGGAGGAGATACACGTGGCGGCGTGACTGAGCGAGCTACAGTAGAGTAAAATGTCAGGTCCGGGCAGCTGAATGTGGTCGGTCTGGCTCGGGGAAAATTCTCGAGCCAATGGAGCGCGAGGGAGAAGCTTCATCTATGTAGCTGCTGATTAACAATATTGGGCGCAATCATCACCCTTCGGCCGATTCTCATTTATAAAAACCCTAACCGGGTAAAAATAGCTTTGGCCCTCGCGCATTTTCACCGCCCGTCCTATTCTTGATTGATTACCCCAACGAAACACTTAGCCTGTCGAAACCTAACGCACCAACGGTTGGCTACTTAGCGCTCCCGTGACCTAATCCCCTTTTATTTTCGTCGCCCGCTAATCTCATCCTTCATCCATATCCTTCTATCCATCCGTCCGTCCGTCCCCGCCTCCGCTCCATCCTTCGTCCCGTTGGGCCAACTGACGTCCCGCTGCTCCGCGATTCTGTCCGAGCTCAACTTGCTCCCGTCCCGTCCGCCCTTAACCGCACCGTGTTTATCTTCGCCGCTAATCCCTGATCGGAGTTGTTGTTCGGCTGGATCCCATCCCATCCCATCCCATCCCATCCAGGCTCCGCATGCTTTCATGATTAAGGATTTGCAGAGAATGGCCATGCCAACCGAGCTGGGCCTGCGAACGTGTTCATGCTCATGCGAGATTAGTTCATGATTAGAGCAGTTGATAATCAGAGGGAATCATAATCATGCCGGGCGGTACAGCGCTCGGTACAACGGAAGAATTTTCTTCGCGGTCTGAGAGATCTGATCCGATGGGGGACAGGGTGGGGCTCGATCACGTTCAGCGAGTGACCTTTTTGACTCGCCGGAGCAGCGAAAGAAACAATTCCTGGTCAGTGATTTATGAGTCCATGGGGCACTTTTTGGCCCGAGCGGGCGAGAGTACCAGGCGCGCTCGAAGGTTCTCCTGAAGCAGCGTACGCTCGCGGTGATGGACAATTGCATGGTTTCATCGGGACCAATGCAGTGCCCCAAGTACGCGTCAGTGGGCGAGGCGTGGCTGGCCGATGGTGTCCGGTGCATGAGAAGCTTGCTCCCGAGCCGCGCCCGGTAGGGCAGCAGCGGACGGACTATCGCTAGTCTTCCCTTTGAATTGCTACGATTTCGACCGCCGGGACGATTGTTCATCATGTTCCCAATCATCTGTGCAGCCGCGAGCTGTGCTTTCCACATTGACCCGCATCCCGTGTGAATTTAAGAGTACTATTTTGCGTACGAGACTTGTCGATGTCAGAGCCCTTGCCCGCGATTACGACTCCTCCGATACTCTCTTTCTCATTGCACTCTCTTTTCGCAGCACATCGAAAGAAACCCCTCGCGATCATGCGTACGAGTATGGACCCTAACATGGATACAGGACCCGACTACCGTCTGGACTCGCCCACGGACCTGCACAATCGAAGACGGAAAATGAAAATGAACATGCAACATGGAACCGGTCAAAGTCTCATGAGCATCCGCCGGCCCCTGGCCAGCTTGCATGAAATTCCATCGTTCAGTAAATGTTTCTTTATCCCACCTCCGAGACCCGGAATGATCAATTGGACATGGGCTATGTTGGGGACGTCTGACTGGGTATGTTCCTGGGCGAGTACTTGAACAATTCTTTTGCGCGCGTGACAGCGGCGCCATTGATAAAGCTTGGTTGCGAGACCGAGGGCGTCATTTTCACGGACGTCATGCGGCTGACGAGCTCTGGTGGTGCTGTGTACAAACCTCCGTCGGTCACGGTCGCCGCAGGATGAAGGAGAACGAGCTCGCACATCACTTCGCGATTAGACCAAACCAGGTAACGATGCCACCACTACTGTACCGACACAACCACTTCGTGCGGCATTTGGCCACCAAGGCTAATTCTATAAAAACCGATCCATTCCTCTATGGGAAGTGTCACATCCTTCTCGCCCTCGCCCTACACTTCATATCTGCGATCACCACGTCTCATGCTCCAAAAGTATCACCCGCCCAAAGGACAAGTCATGGAGCCATGCAATGACAATCGAAAGACCTTGGATCCGAGTTGGAAGTCGCAACAGATCACATCTTGGATTTTTCCAGATACTTTTCCAGACGTGACCATCCTCAATGGCCTTCCAGCGGTGTCGATGTTGACACCCCGGCCGCATGTTGCTCCAGATATAATCCGTGTACATTCTTCCATTCATAACCGAGCGTGGCCTGGGGTCCGAACTCAGCCTAGCACATGTTGCTACCCTCGATCTCCCCGTTTCTATACTTTCCGCTTTCCGCTGCGTGAGTATGTGCAACGTCCTTGTGTACAAGCTGCACCAATTTATTCGTTCGTTGTCAGATAACTTCCTCTTGGGCACATGTTCCCTGCCATTTGTGGTCAACATGATTCCAGTACGACCTCGCTCGCTCAATTCCCTTTTCAACGCCCTTTCGAGTAATGGCCTAAGCTTCCACATTCCATACTCCATTCTGTCGATGCAAATAAAAAATGATCGATCCCAAACAGAACAGAGCCTCACGGAACGCATGCACAAATGGTCCGATTCAGATTCCCATATGGCAATCACACCCGTCGGTGGACAGAACGCGCATTCTCATAACACCTTTCGACTTAGGACACTTCATTGGATCGAGCAAGAAGAATGTTGTGCAATATTCCAGATGAAAAGTTGACGACATAGTCCTGGTTTTTTTATAGATGAACAGCATAGGAGGGACATTATGACTGATATTATAGGCAAGAAAGACCATGGCCATGACCATGTTTTTCACACGGGCACCGTGGGTTCTCCATGAGTAAGGAATGAGAAACTCGGCAATACCATTCCGAATGCACATGGGCGGATGCTCACAAATTCGGCCAGCGGAGAAACTCTCAAACACGTCATGAAAACCAGCTACAATGCAAAGCAAGTTCCAGTTGAGGTACATCGCCATGGTTCAAGAGTAAATGAAATACACCGATCGATGGATCGAGAACACATGCACGTTGATGCGAATCTATAGTAAAGATTCTCGACATCTTTGGGTGATCCTTGTCGGGTTTCACGACGAAGATATCGAGACTAGGCCAAATTTCGTTGCATGATAATACGAACCTACAATCCATGTTCATAGACTCTTCTCTTTCCAAATGGTTCCGCTCTTTCATGGGAATCACAATCACTTGCAATATTCATGTCTATTCTGTCCGCTTGTCCTCGTTGGCCCCTTTACGTCGACATCCCCAAGTCAACCGGCTCTAACAAACAAGAACTCGGTACAGCCCAGATCAGGACTCGCTATACGGGTCCTTACGGATTAATTTTCCAGAGCGAGGGTGGCATCAGCCTTGGACGTGGATCCAGCAAAATGGGTCGTCACTGACCATGAAGAAGGCCATGAAGAAGGTGGAAGATCTGATGCTACAGTGGGCAAGATCTGACCTGCATTTAAAATTAACTGAACTACTAAATTTACACCCAATGATCAATGAAAAATACAGATCGCAGCCTTTATGCCAAATTTGGAAAGGGAACCAATTGAACTCCATTATTCCTCAGGAGCATATATTCCCCATAGCCTGACATTTTCTTATGGTCGCACAATTTTTGGATCCATCTCCACATAATTTCGCCGTTTTAATTCCAGGACGAAAATCGAAAATATTGACTTCCATACATCCTCATTGTATGGTCAGGTCGTAGTCTTCGACCACATACAACGACTGGTCCAAAGTCGTCACTAGCTTAAATTTGGCAAAGTTCACATCAAACGTACATTCGCGAGTCCGAGTTCTTGTCGTTCTGGCTTGGGGGACCACTAGCATTCGGGCCAGCAAATCTGTTGCATAAACCCGTAGCCAGAGGTAAATAGGAGCCCAAGCCAATGCGCAGCACCGGCGTGGACGCTTTGCTGCTGAGCATTACTGTCAGAACCCTCCGTTTTGTTAGCAAGATGACGACACTTAATGGTTCCACCGAAACAAAGCCCCGAAGCATTTCCTTTCACCCCGATTCGTTTTACCTTGTAGAATCACTACTAATCACTTCACGTGGAAGTAGGTCGAATATTACATCTTCAAAAGCTCTGCTGTAAATGTGGATTACATCAAACCCCTGGGTACGAAATGTACTTCGATGAAACGGCTTTTGGACCTTTCCTGTTATCGGACAAAAATGTCATGGGTATTACAGCTAAATTACATAAATGAACTTCCATAATTCTCACACACACTCCCCTCTCCCTCTCTCTCCCTCTCTCTCTCTCCATCTTACAGCTGACAGCTCAGCTTACCGAGAGCAGCATCGAGCTACGCTCAGTCACTGGCCAACTGAAAAGGTTGAACATTTCACTTGACGTCTTTTTCTGACTTGGCACTGACAGTTCGGTTGTTTTGAGTTTTATACAAAAGCATTGAATGAATAAAGCGAAGCGAACAGTAGAACGAGTGCTCGTGATTATAAGCATCTACCTGATTACCGGCATCGGTTTACTTCAAAATGTGCGAGCTCGATTTGATTTGAGCCTACGAGTCAAGAAAGACGATGAAGAGTAAAAAGGTAGTGCTGTCGAGGACTCGAGAGGGCTAAAGGCGCGCACGCAGCGGCGCAAGCCGTTTCGAACGATGCGAAATCGTGGCCGGCTCTTGTTTCAGAGACAGGGAGGGAGAGGGAGAGGGAAGCGATGGAAGACTTCCGCAGTCTTGCACCGATAGACGATTCCGTTCTCTCTCTCTCCCTCTCTCTCTCTCTCTCGTGGTTCGAGGCGCTCTCTACTCAGAAGAGTGCCTCCCTCTGCAAGCTACTAGAGGACAAAGCATTAACTCACCGAGTCCATGCTCTGACTTTTTCGTCCTGTCCGTCTCATTACTGAATGTTCTTCCGGGTTTTCCACTTTTGACAGGTGAATGTTGCACAGTCTTTCCTTACGCGCATTTCTTCACGAAGAGCATTTATTGCTCAGGCCCTAGACTCTAATATTGGGCAAAGAAAATTTCTGGAAATTGCGGCCGTATTTCTTGTGGAAAAAATTCGACATTTCCATGGTGCAATGAGACTTGGTTCATTTGTAGACATGGCATCTTCATGTTCTACTTTGTTTGTAGATCACGTCAATGTTGCAAAGCAATGAAACTTGCACAATCGGGAATTGCACCTTCAACCTTTGAAACTTAATACAAAGAAGAGATGTTTGTTGCCCAAGCTCACGATGCTTCAAAGACGGAACCTAGTATTTCTCTTGTTGCCCGCCTTTGGGCCAATCGGACATTCAGTGCCTGCGTTTGCTTCCTCAGCATCCACTGCAGCATAGCCCGATCCTCCATTTATTGCTGAACTATTTTTAGATCGCAACACCTAGAAATTCAATAAAGCATAATGCGAGCGTGGTCGGCCATATATATTCACATGAATCTACGAGAAGGAAACATGCAAATGCAGATCGAGGGACTCGAGCACCCGAGGTCGGTCGTCCGTGTGCAGCTCAAAAAGGAGGATAGATTCGGCGTGACATCGAATGCACAGCTCAACAAAGGCGCCGGGGATAAGCGAGTATCGCAGGCACCAGAGGCTCAAAACTGCACTCCAGGAAACAACGCTAAAAACAGAAAGATCGGGGTCCAAATTAAACCGAACCGTGACAGTGCCATCTGAGAGCGCAGCTCGCAGCACAAGCTTCTCATGCGCCTCTCGCAATATTCCAGCGCGCGCGCGGTAAGTCTCGCTCATCCGGCACATGCTCCAACAGCCAAAATTACCACATGATGCTCATGCTCACCCGTCGTCCTGGACGGACGGATGGATGGATGGATGGATGGATGGATGGATCTGGGCTGGTTAAACGGACGAGGGCACATATTATAGGCCATTAGCTCGGCGCCGCTAATGTAATGCTCGGCTCTAACCCCGCATCCGAGTCGCAGACGCGGAGTCCGGTTCGCGGGGGAGGTGACATTACAGGTCAGCGCCCGGGCCCAGGGTCCATGTTTACCATGATCAGGAAGGATGCGTCCGTCCGCGGCTTGGACGTGGAGTTCGAATTCGAAATGCTGCAGGTCGTTCTGGGTTCGGGGAATATTCGACGAGGAATCTGCGCTCCGGTGGGGCTCTGGTTTCCAGGGCACTCGTTTTGGGCGAGGGGAGGGAGCGCGGCCACTGGGCGGCAGGCGGGAGGGAATCGGGGGCCGAATCGTCTCCGGCCCTTGCATATGCTTCAAAGGCCAGAATGGCTAAGGCGAATCTTCGCTGTGCGTCAGGCTGTCTCGATGTCTTGCAGAACCCGGGTACCGGACCTGGCGAACGCGTGCGATTGAGTTCGGAGTACTGTAAGTCGTTCTCGGATCTGGATTTGCTTTCGAGGAATTTGGTTGGTTTGTTTGGATTTTTTTGTTGTTGGTGTGGAATCGCGAGCTTTTCCGGGGCGATTTTTCTCCAAACCTGCCTTCAGTTTTTCGTGGTTGTGGTGGTGACGGACATACTTGTCTAGCGTTTCTTCGCTTTTCAGAATTCTGTAGACTTTGGGGCTTTGCTGTTCGCTTGTGGGTCTGAGTTTGTTCCTCCGTTTTGTGACCCCCGTCGTAGGCTCAGGCGCCATTCGTGCCCTGGTTTTGTATGTTCGTTCTCACGAAGACAGACCAGCGAAAATATATGTTCTGCTTTGTTGGAGTGCTGGCTGGCTTCCTGTGGACAACTCAGTTTCACTACACACAACATGTCCCCCGCCTCAATGTTCTCGCTCTCTTCGATATCATTCACTCTCGATTCATTGACCCCACCGAAGCCTTCCTCACGAGCAATCATTAACCCCCATGATCACGTCCCAAAGTAGACAAGCGAACAATTCCTTTTGTGCGCACATACATTTGTGGTGAAATGATATATGGAACCTCAAGCTGGAACAGAACCGGAAGATTTCAGCCACACGAAAGCCGGTATTCCACAAGAAAAAAGGTCACTTGGAACTAAGAATTCAGATACATCTTGTTACTCTTACATACCTCCATAGTCATTTCAAATTAACTTTATATGTTTCATGGACTGGAAAGAATATCTGAGAGATTGCAAGGGGATTGTGGAGTTTTTCAAAAAAATCGGTGCATTACATATAGAGAAATATATAATCATGCAACGTTCATTCAAGAAATCCATGCAACCAGCACCAATATTCTTCTCCTGTTGACAAAAAGAGTCCATGCCGAGAGACTAATGGGGTTCATAATGGTAAGTCGACATGAAACTGTTCTGATTGTAGGTTGAGGTATTATTGTATGATTTCAGGTGACCTGAAACCACATGCACAGATTTCACAACATCATTTTATGTAACCAAAAACTCAAAAGTCCTCTGCTTATTGGACGGTTCGAATCTTACGGATCCACATTTATTTTACATATAGATTCATCTCAGGTACTCTAATGTGTCACAATAATATTATAGTACTTGAGAGATCGTCCTACAATACCAATATTTGACCAGATCTTTTCTAATTGGATGCCATCGCAATTTTGACCCAATCTCTTTCAGTAGTGGCATCATCAACACACCATACATAGCAACACGATTAGATGATGCACCAACATTATTAGCTATTTGGTTTCATCGCACCCGGATTGCGCAAGAATGCAATACACGATCCGTTCTCACCCGCTGAGATTCGTACTTTGGTGTAAACAAAGCCCATCAGCGCTCGATTAAGATTCTGATTAAAATTTATGGATATTAGAGTCGGCATGAAAAAACAATAATCTGTCAGTATTCTCTCAATGTGCTATTGAAAACTGGAGTTGTGCGCGCACAACTCCAGTTTTCAACCCCGTGAAACTCAAGGGACTTGAGCAACGATCTGAGCTCTGCCGTTGCGTCACTCCCGGTGCTGATTGAGGTGAGGTCACGCAACTAGCAAGATAATGGGGACGCTGCATAGTCGGTGACAAGTGCTAAAAAAGAGTGCGAGGGTTTCGCACGAGAGTAGTTGGGCAAGAATGCAACGAGCACTTCCAATAATGAACTTGTTAGAGAAAAAGAGGGGACGGCAAAGTGAGGAGGATGAACATGTTTGGGTTTGTCTATTTGCCTCAGAGAGAAGAGGCGAAAGGAGAGGAAGCAACGGAAGTGGAAATGAAATAATTTGCCTGCCGGCTGGGGAAAACTGGACAATGGGCCGGAAAATATCTTCCCCATTTGACACTCCAACGAGTCAGAAGAGTGTGGACGTCACGAGCCAGAGAAGGTGGAAATGGCTCTTCAATCAGTTTCGCACTATTCCGGTTTTCTGGACTCATGATCTCTTGCATCACCAGATGGCGTATACCAGACCAGCGATTATTCTTTCCTGCGCTTGAGCAAACACGTTCGCAAATATCTGCGTCTCCATGCTCCTGTCGCAGTGTGGGGCTCACTCGCGAGGCAATGGAAGCAATCGAAAGTATTTCTTTTCGAGCCCCATGGCAAGAATCGGGCTCTTGCTCTGGCTTTCTTTCATGCCTGTCGATGGATGTCTCTCGGTGACGTCGCCGGCTCCTGGGAGGGCTTCATCGGAGTGCGTCGTCGCCTATCAAATGTGAGCAAAAGATCGTTCACTCTCAAACTGCGACAACAATGAATCGTGTTGTTCGCACACCATCGCTGCTGCTCGCGCGCCTTGGGATGAGGGTTCCTTTGTATGGTCCAGCTTTTGGGCGCCCTATGGAAGGAACTGGGGACGCCGAAAATTCTTGTCCTTCCTCGGAGCCCCGCATACAATAATAAATCAATCCTGCAAGGCGGGAATAACCAACCGAGCCATCGTGGACGGGAGAGGGATTCGAGGCGTGACTGCGACGGGCACGCAGTCGCGCTGCGAGGGCCGCCGAGGGGACCGCCGGCGAGAGCTGCAGTCGGGGCGAAGGCATGACATGGCGAGCGACCGGGCCTCGGGCGGGGAGCTCGATGTGCCCCTTCGCGCTTTCTAAATTGGGAAAGTGTCGCCCGGAATCAAGGAGCGGGGTTCAGTTGGAACTGAACATCGACCGAGGACTGAAAAGGAGAGCAGACATGGAAAGTTTGTGCACTTGCGCCCAATAAGGCGCGCGCGGGAGCTCCATGGTTCTTTCCATGGGCCTGAACATGGAGATTCTCAAGCCGACCAAGGCAATAGAAAAGGGGCGGAAATGCGCGCGGTGACTAGGCGAATGATCGAATGGAGTGTGTAAACGACTAATTACAGCTAAGCTGCCGAGCTTGTTATTCCCATCTATCCGCTTCCTATTCACATGCTCAATGTGTTCCTTCTTCTTTTGGACTTTGATCGCTTCTGTTCCGATGTTGGTTCATGTTCGTTTCCTTCTTTCCATCCATGGAATCGAACCGATTTCTGTTGCACACCATCGTTCACACGTCAATATGCTTGCCGGGTCACGAATTTGTTTCGGGTTTTGAATTTTTACCTCTTCCCTCCTTGCAAGAGAAATCTCTCCTCCATTCACTCCATGTTTACTCCATGTTCAGTGTCGAGGCAGCCAGACACTCCCAAGATTCGCACATGTTACCATGAAACATAGCCAACTCTCGCTCATTTACTACCCTTTACATCATCACATCTTCGTCCGTTCGTTCGTCTGTTCGTGCGATTCCATGCACTCACTCGACAGAACTCGGCCTCGGTCGAAGGAATGGGTTACACCAAAAGAGGGAGAGAGAGAGAGAAATTAACTTGCGAAAACAGTGATCTCGCCGCGCAAAGGGACATGGACCGTTAGTCATGCAGAGAATCTTTGCACAGCATTTAGCTGCATTACGTGGAATAACAACAATGCGGAAACATTGACGAGCGGGGGCATGCCCTACGACCGCGTACGTTGTCGTGTAGGTGGTTGTTGCGCAGATCGGAACCCGATCACTGTCGACCACAGTAATTCGCATCCGCCCGCGCGGGGACGACACCGGAGCAGCCACGCCCGGAGCCGTTTCTCGCTCGTCTGTTGCCGCCGGAGAGCCCCGAGCGGGAAAGGGCCGCGCGCGCGCCGAACGTCCGTGTCGTTCGATGCGCGGCGTCGGAAAGCTCGTTCGGGGCATATTCTGCGGCCACGAGGGCCATCGGCGATGGCGCAGTGACCTCACGTCCGGTCGGGATGCGACAACCGAGGTCAGTGCACCCGAAAGGATCCAAAAGACCGCAAATCTTTTCGGACAACACGACGGAGACCGGTGTACTGAACCGGGTACAGGCTCCGATCCGTGTACTCTTCGATGTAAACCACACGGTGGGTGTTTAATCCCAACCCGGTTTGCAGTTAGTACCATCATCGCTCGACCTCCTACGGAATCCTACCACGTACAACAACAACAACAACACCAGCAACAGCAACAACTCATGCAGTGAGCTCCAACGACCCGGTGGACGCTGGATGTCGACGGACGCCCAGGATCCGTGAGGATCCGATCACTCCGTCGCGGCGAGTACTGTGGTAACCGGATCCTCGTTAACTTAACCCGCAGGGCGTGTCCGGCGCGAGTCAGTGACGGATCGCGGCCCCGACGGAGCTCCTGGCGTGTCCGGTACCTGCCCTGTCGAGGCGAGGGAGTTGGTTCGGTGCGCCCGGGAAGCGGATGCCGGACGCCGGGCGCCGGGCGGGGTGGGGGAGGCACGAGGCCCAGCCTTGTCTCCGAGGGCAGGGCGCGTCGGGAAAGGCCCGGCCCTCGTTCCATGCACCAGTTGGCGAGTTTGTGGCTGTCCCGGGGCCTGGGCACTCCACCATTCGGTCCAGAGTGGCAGCTCGCGCGCTTCCACCAATGCCACGCCAGCTTCTCGAGACTTTCGCTTCCACCCGTGCCACGCCAGATTATGCCCTTCCCGTGGCTGCGCGCTGAAAAGCTCCGCCACTGTGCTGCCGCCTCTGGCCCCGTCCGCCTGGCCTGCTTACGTTCGGTGGGGCGAATATTCCCCCGGGGCCGGGAGAATAGGTGGAGCCACGGCTGGAGGATCTAGCGGGTGTCCCCGAAATGATTGTGGTTCACTGCATTTGAATGGCTCGCGGGGCGGAGGAGGGGGAATTCGTTCGGGCTCGTAGGCCGTCGAGGCCATAGACGTCTCACATGTTCGCACTTCGCACTCCTTTCCATTCTTTGAGTGAGCGGAGTGGAATTGAAAAATGAGTTTTAAATCGGATTCTCGACAGCACTGGGTCGATGTAAGGCAGGATGACCGCAATAGACTCGGCCGGTCGGCCTCCGAGAGACAGAGCGCCTTGAGAGTGGGGGATGTTGTTGGGAGAAGAAATCCAAACAAGAAATCGTGAGTATTTTATGGGTTTTCTGGAGCTCCCTCTTGCGCTCGTCCACACAATAAACATAGTTTGAATGCATGAGCCGGGGAAAAAACAATGGATATGTTGGCACACCGCAATAAGACACTGCCAGGGGCAAGGAAGCCGAGCCCGCGGTAACTTCGCCCTTCTGAAACGATGTGAAAAAGGGCGCCCCAGTATCACCCCCACCATCATGGAACATTTCAACGAGCACGAAGAAATGTGATGGCTGCAACTTGGACGCATGCGCTGCTAAAGACATCCGCATCGGACGACAGTTCGAGGAAGAGTTCAATTGCCTCATGACGAATGGAGGCTGCAAATTATGCACACCAAAAAGACGAATCTCGGTCAGAGGACACCGGTGAGAATCTTGTTAGAGCCCCCGTCGTCCACCCTCGTCGTCCGGAACGTGAGCTATTGCAACAGTAGGACCGGGGCAGCACAGGCCAGCCCAGGCCAGGCCATTGGAGAGGCCACACAGAGAGAGAGAGAGAGAGAGAGAGAGAGGGGAAAGCCTCAAAGTCCCTCTTGACTGAAGGCTCAAGGATGAATGATGCTGCTGCTCTCCCTCTCGCTCTCCCACCCGCCGAGAAAGTGGACGATCGATGGGTGGCCAGGGCTCGATCGATGCACATCGGCCACGCTAAGTCAAAGCCCAAGTTCGCCACATTTTCCTCCTGCTCATGTCTGTCCCCGCCCTCCGCCTCCCTCACGGACCCAACGAGGTCAAGCACCCGAGCTCTCTCTCTCTCTCTCTCTCTCTCTGCGAATTCCAGCGTAAGAACAGTGATTCCAGGATGCGGCTGACAATGGCTTTGCTTGGCCCCAAGTCCATTGACTGTATTATTATTCCCCCGGCCATCCTCGTCCATTCATTGGCCCATGCCATCCTAGGTCAAAATCCTAGGGGCGTTATGGCACTTTGGCTGGTCCGGGTGCCTCGCCCGCCTGCCCCCGCCCTGCCCCTCCCCCCTGCCCCTACCCCTACCCCTACCCCAGCCCCTGCCCGCCTTCCTTCCTCCCTTGCTTCATTCCTTCCTTCCTTCCGCCAAGTCAATGACTCGAACTTTGAGCGGCTCCAACGGAGGGCAGCCAAAATAGCGGGCTCGGTTAGCGAGGAGGCATCTGGGGGCTCGGGCCTACTTGCGCACTGTGCTTAGTTAGAGAGAAGGCAGGCAGGGGCAAGGAATATAGCCGACGAGAAGCGCTTCGAAATTTCGTGCAGCGGCGAGGACGAGGAGGAGTTACGCCCGGTCAAAGCCCTCGGGTGGTAAGGTAAGCTCAGGAGGAAGAAGCTCGCGACGAGCAGTCGCAGTGCATGGAGCGAGGGCGAGGGAGGGCGAGGGAGGGCGAGGGGTGGGGTCTCGAGACTGGAGCGAGACTCGAGTCTCGAGGGCGAGAGAGTTACCGCGGAGACCAGACAAGGCGGAACGACATGGGCTCTCGAGAGTTACATCCTTTCAACGACAGACAGGTGAGAGTGGCCAATGCGGGCGAATCAGGCTCGGCCGTGACCTGCAGCGATTGGGCGTGAAAACGCATGTAATTCCATTGGGTAGTTATGCTGTGTGCAGCAGAGCGCGCTCCAATGGCGGAGCTCCAAAAGCTGATTAGTGGAAGTTTAAAAGCTCGAGCGCAGGGCGAAAAGAGACGGAGCGTTAAAGACATGAGGGTGGGGCCTGGCGGCCTCGCGGCTGCGAGAGCAGGCCACGCCATTGCGTACCGCAGTTGTGGCAGTCGCCCGAGAGTAAAAGGGGCCGAGAAGAATAAGTACATGTCGCGCCCGGAGTCCTGACGCTGCGCTTACTGGGTAATGGGTGATTAAGAAAATCTAGACCCGCAGACACTAGATTGACAAGACGATCATGCTCATGTCATAAGCGAGAGCAGGAACTTACGAGGTGCCTGATTAGCGCAACGTCGGAGGACAAGGACGAGGACAGGATTAGAGAAACCCCAAAGATTCGACGATCCGCAAAGACATTATATTTCTGACCTCCCAAATAGTTGGGACGGGGCTAGAGATCGACGACCCACCCACACAACCCACTCCACCTGTGACCCTGCGGCCATCTCGGTTTTCAAGCTCCTGCCCTGATGGGTCGTCGGCCAGAAAGATACACCGATAGTGAGGTTTGTGGTTTGCGCGCGGAAAGATCTCGCTCCCCTTTCCTCGTTGCTAATGAGAACTTTCCACATGACCAGACGCGGCCAAAACACGATCTTGACAAGATGTCACTCTTTGGCTTGCGGTGGACGGGTCAAAGCGCCCGAGCTCGCTCGCTCTCCCCACTCGAGTGAGTTCCCAGCTCTACCAGGAGGTGTCTCTTTCGCCTAACCGATCGCGCTAGCCACATTTGGAAAGGCACCAGGTGTTGTTGCTTCGCAATCACATGAATATCTTAGTTGTCATCAGCTTTTGACAAACAACAGCTCAGCACGTAAGAAAGAGGAGAAAAGCGGTAATGGTTTCTTTCTTCTGCTTCACTTGTGTGGAGAAAGCCTTCCTGACCAGCCCCTTTTAGAAGGCATGCAAACTCCCATGGCACCTCTGACCGAGCCAGACACTTTTGTTTCAGCCAAAACAACCAAAAAGATCTGTCTCGCAGCACTTTCAGCTTTGTCTCCATACGTGAGGTGACTTGGCGACTGACTTTTACACGGACTTCTGGATCACATCCTGCTGCCTTCCGTCTCCACCATATTGACTCCATCAAAAACAAATTTTGGCATCATCGTCTTCTGTTGGCAACTGCGATTGCTGGCCACACTTTCTGCTTGCAAATATGCTAAAAATTATGTACATACGTTCGAATCTGATCTCTCTGGGCACTTTACATACGGCCAAATGTTCATTATTGTCTCCCATCCATTCTCTGCTTGGGTAACAGAATCGAGTGGATTGAGAACTTCTTTACTTCCCAATTGTGCTGAATTTGGAACTAAAGTGGATGCAATGCTTCAGGCCTCTATCTCATACCTTACCTGGTGGAGGCATTTGACCATGACCTTGTCCGCGAGAAGACCTCGAGGAGTGCCTACGGTGTCACTTCATGACGGGAGCTCTCCATTATCCGAGTCTGGTCACGTTGACACATCTTTGAACTCACACTCACACGGTGATCCATAGCGCTCCATGTCCCTCCACAATTCCTGGGACCAGGTGCGACGCATGCCCTCCAAAATCAAACATCGCCATCAAGGAACGAACGGCTCATGTGGTGTAGGAGCTGAAGTGCCCACACAAAGCCTTCTTCTTTAATCTTCTTTCTTCGCTGTTACTTTGCTCGAGAAGTTCTTGTCGAACCAACCAACATGCGCTTCGAGGTTTTCCAACAGCTTGCCTCCGAGGGACTGGGGTTGGATGTCTGACCAGCACTCTTCAACGGCAAAATCGGATTGGTTCGAAAGCAGCAAGCTAACGTCTTACATCGACTCTCTCGGAGATGAATCTAATATCCACATGGAGCAAGGGAATGAGCAGTTCGACTGCTATAGCAGTAAATTCCAGATACATACAGAGGCAATGGCTGGGCACTATTGATCCTGCCTCGAATCATCTCGGCAACGAACATGAGATCCCAACAACCGATATCTTCCTCGGGCACCCCATTTTATTTGTATTCTAACGATCGAAATAGTAGGAGCTGCGATGGACAAGTCTAAGAATTGATGCACCAGCTTTGCTCCGAGTGAACCTTTTTGAGCAGTAATTGACCGCCTTCCTGATGGGAATTCTCACATCTATGTGAGCAGCCAGTTGTTACTAGTGAATGATGTGTGACACGCCCTTCCTTCGGACGATCCTACTTCTATCCGCAATCAATGTTTCCCCGATTCCAAGAATTTGCTTATTTTTTTTTAATCACCTTTTGATTATCCGAGCATTTTACAATCCGACTCATGACCAAAGTAATGACCACAATGAAGCTTCTTGTGACCCAAGTTCAGCGAGGACTTTCGAACGACTGCCGTCAAATGTTCAGTTTAGGAGGGACGGGGGGTAATCTTGCAAGAATCTTGCACGAGTTCTTGGAAGTTACAGAAATTAGTTGCAGACCCTAGAGTTTCGTTGGGTTACGGTATACGGTCTTCTGTCTAGCCAGGCTTGGAGTCCATCTTTTGACCTGTGTGTATTCGAATCGTTCACTTCGGTCGGGCGAGATCAGATCACATACAAAACCACGATGGTGCGGATTTCTTTGCTAGTGCCACTAGCCCACCTTTACTTTCTGCTAAAAGCGATGCTAATTAGCTCGACGACCTCCACCTACACGTCTCACTCGAAAAGCCTTCCATGCAAGGGCGCATGTGGACACAAGATCAACATGACATCATCGCAGATAATCTATCCACTTTACAGTTACTTATCCACCCTATAATCCCCATATCCCGCCACAGTCAGAATCCACCACCCCCCTCGGCGACTATTTGCTCACCCCCCCTCGCCATTTCTTCTTCCTTGGTACCACCACTCCCTCCCTCCTGCTGCACAAATCGAGCCCCCTCTCAAAGCATTCCTTCCTCTGCCCGAAGCCCACTCCAACCTGCACTCCCCGACCGCCCGGCCGCCCACCGCCCCTCCCCTCCCCTCCCCTCGTCCTCGTCCTCGTCCTCCACCGAAGAAAAGTGGATCGCAAGTCTCGAATTCTCTCGCAAATGGCCGACCTCTGCTCCCACTCACCCTCACCCCTCACCCTCGTTCCATATCGGGAACACGGCCTGCTCGGATCAAAGCGGACCCACAGATCAGCGCCGCG